GTACTTTGACTCCTAGATTCTGCCTCTGTGTGCCCGCACAAGCATACGTCCTATTCGATCTGCACTCGCCTGTGGTAACTGTACGAGACGGGTATGGCTGGATAGTCAACGGATACTTCAAGATAATTCATGTGATCAACCTAGCCCGCTATGAAGAAATCGCAAGTCGTCTGGAAGCCGAAGTCACCAGGCTGAATGAAACCAATGATATCACGGATGTCCTTGCCTATCACTTAGAGAAGGTTCAAATCCAACTTAATGAGCTAAAAGGTCCAAAATACAAAAGAAATAAGCGTGCAATCAATTGGATAGGATCGGCTTGGAAATGGATTGCCGGTTCTCCCGACGCGTCCGATTGGGATGAGGTACTTCGATCCCAGGATTCGCTAGTACTAAACAACAACCAACAGTACAGGGTAAATAATGAAATATTTAAGAAAACTCATGAGCTATTGCAGGTGGTCAACGGCATGGTAACCGTCACAAACGGCATCCTGGGGCATAACCACGTTATGAAACTATCAGAAGAAATCCTGCACAAAGTAATGATCTTGAAGGATGATGTCAATGAGTTTGTTCAAGCCTGTCAAATGGCCAAGGCTGGAGTGATTAACAGCAACCTGCTAAACAAAGAGGAAATCAACGAATTGATCAGCGAAATCGAAGTCCTTCCATACGCTAACGTCATCGAAGCCGTCGAATACGGCGAACCATCAATCTACACGAATGGTACCTTGCTACTTTACGTTTTGTCCATGCCAAAAGTGGATCAAACGAGATTCAACAATCTTATCACTCGAGCTATTACAAAAAATGGTCATCGGCTGGATTTAAGGTACAACCAAGTTCTAATCAACAAGAAGCAAACATATGGCGTCAAGGATAAGTGCATTCATCTGACAAGCGCAATGGTATGCAAGCAGGATGCATTGGACCTACTACGCGAAGAAGATTGCCTGCCGCGACTGCATCAAAGGTGGCGAGACCAGTTGCCGCTACGTAAGCTGCAACGACTCAACGTTGAGGTCATCAAAGAGGACACGATCTTATTGGACAACGTCAATGACACGATATGGTCAGGTGAAACCCCCAACTATTTGAACGGCTCCTACATTCTTCAACTGGAAAACGAAACTATTCGAATTGATGATAAAACTTACTGGAGCATGAGCAGCTCAGGCGTTCAAATACTCCCACCTGTGCTATCTACTATAAAGAATAAAAGCCTCGCCGTCAATCTGAATCTTGTCCACGAGATGACTATTGGAAATGTTAAACTTCTGAGATACCTAAAGGACAGGACCAATTGGTTTACAGCTTCGGAAACTCTGGGCTTGTTTTTGCTATTAATTCTCATTTGGATAGTTTGGAGGAAGCTAACAAAAGGGACAGCACTTCCTAAAGTAAGATTGTCCATACTACAGACGGATCCTCAGGCACGAAGAAAGGAAGACACCTGTCCACGCTCGGATCTGCGGGACGCAGATCTTTAGAGGGGGAAGAGTTAACACTCCCCAGAGTTAACTCGCTGCGGCGCTCCCACTGTTGCCCACTACACGTGCCGCTAAGTCAGCACAATTACATTCTCACGGCGCGCGGCAACCTAACACCCAAAGTCAAGGCCATGACTAGTACCAGCGATTAATACGTATGCTACTGCATTACTCCAGACGCATCGTCAGCATAATACTATTTCGCATACTTGTGAAATAGCATCAACCCATATTGCAAGTGTGGGAACTAACGGACGAACTTATTCACAGACAACAATTATGCAACAGGTACGCTGCTGCTGGACATTGGCTATAAAGGGAAGCAGCGGACACAAAGCGGGCAGTCGAGTTCGGGACGGTAACGCTACGGTTTAGATTAAGAATTCTAATTGTAATTGTGTAAATAGAATAAACTGTGTTGGATTCCAAAATTTGTGTTGTAAATTTGTAACTCGTAGTTAGAACTGTTGGGCGCGTTGGCCCAACTAAATTATTTTTTTGACTTATACGGACTTAACGTCTGTAACTTGTATGTATATGAATAGGATATTATATAGNAAAAAGTGAAACTAAGTGAAGTAATTTTATTATTGGCAGAATTAGTGTCTAATCCTACGTGACTGCTTCTAAAAGCTATCGTGTTTCACGTGGCATATAAGACTTAATTTCATTATTACATTAGTGTTTTTTATATGTATGTATATGAATAGGATATTATATATTTATGTATTTAAAAACCCACAACTTTAAGACCGCGCATCTGAACTTGTTAAAATCTTGCCGTGTCACAAACATATTCGTTATTATATAAGGAAAACTACGAAGAATATGACAAATAATATCAGTACTGCGAAGATTTTTATCATCAGTTTGGAAGTACTGTACAATATTTCACCATGCGCCGCTTCTATGTTCAATTCGGCATCTTGTATGTTTGTATCGATACGCTCCACAGTCTCCTCTTGCTCCTTAACCATATGTGCTGATTGTTGAAATATACCGCCTAGCTCGACAATAGTCGATTCAATGCTCTGCATAGGGTCAGCCCGCTGTTGCACGTAACTATCGGAGTCATCATATAATGCAATCTGCTGCTGCGTCTGTATTCCACTACCTCCGACTGCACCCAGCAATGGTGGTGTATAACTTGGGGCCATGTCAATGCTTACGGCCGTATTCTCTTCGCTTAACAGAAAGGAGCCCTGTTTCGCTGTACTCGAGCGAACAGTGCTAGCAGCAATTGGTGACTGCCCGAATTGATCCCGACGCGCTTTTTGTTGTTTGAGATTTTCTATACGCACTTCTAGTATCTGTTTGAAGTCGGTGCCCATGCTGGCTAATTTAGATTGTAACGCATATACCATGATGTAAGTCAATTCTTGAATCTATTGCGGTCGATCATCAAAAAGACTCTTCTTTTATACTCACGCATTGCCAATTTTTTCCAACTTGACATATGCACTTGCTATGTTTTTGCCAATATATTTGTGACCATCATAAATTCCTTTCTTTGGCATACGTCAATTGTTGCACCATAGCCTGTAAGAAATGCGTAAACATAATAATGTAAACGTCTTCAAATGCACTTCTACTTCTAACTTACTTGTAAGTCTCTAATCTGTTGCTCGTACATAAATTGCGTCTGCGTCGAGGACTCTATCCGATTGCGGCCTTGGTTTACATTGGCCTTATCCGACAACTGGCGTATGATAAGCTGCGCCATTTCCAACTCATTTGACTTTTCTTTGAACTGATGTTCAACATCGGGAGCACGTTGCTGCATTACATCTAACAGCCTTTTCATTTCATCCAGATGAGCCGCTTGATGTGGCCAACACCCAAAAGGTTTGTTTACAAAGTGCATTTTTGAGTAGTTGAACAAATGCCAGTGCGCAGCCAGCGGGTCAGTTGCTGGCAACAATTTGCAGGCTTGGGCCAGCGTTTGTTGCGGCTGCCGGAAAAGTAGCTAAATAATGAAAGTAATTATATGTATAGCGGAGTAGGAGGTTTTCCTTTATTTTAAAAGCTTGGTTACTGATTTCACTAATTGACGACGATGCAACGATCACCGTGAAATCGTTCTGCAAATTGTTACCAGCAACTGACCCGCTGGCGGCCCGCTGGTATTTGTTCAATTACTGAAAAAATGCAAATCATTATAATGATTGCAGTGTTTTAACACTTTCAGCGATTTGCATTGCATTTAAGAAGTACACATTCTTTACTTTTAAACAACCAATTTACCATTTAAAATTAAATAATTCCGTAAATCCGTAAATCCGCGATTTATTATGCACTTTGTAAACAAACCTTTCAATTTTGCCCCAGCTGTTCGATTCTTCTTCTTTTTCTTAGGTCGGTGTTATGCAGAAATTTTGTTTGGCAAACTGCGTGCAATTGTTGTTGCAGCAAACTCGGAGAGAGCGAGTTTGGCGACTCTCACAGCAAACTAATTTTGTTTGGTCAAACTGCAGCAAATTCGGTGTTGTCATATACAAAAATTTTAAATTTTGCGCGTTATGTGCATCTGAAATTCTCATTTCGTGTTGGCAATAGCCATGAAAACCATAATGAACGTGCAACCCTGTGCCAAACTCGACATAACCACCTCCGAGCAAACTAAGCAGCCGCCATTTAATTTGGCAAACAAAAGTTTGTCTGCATAACACCGACCTTATTGAATTCGTCTTTGCTCTCTAATTCTGGTATATTTTGACGTCATGGCCAGTTGCTCTCAGCTCGATTGGCGCAATCTTGTATTCTATCATTCTTGAGGAAAATGTATGCTCTTTGTTTGGTACACAAAGTCAGTATTACCGCAGCCGTACTGCGATGAACATGATGTCGGTGGGATATAAATAATTTTCTCGCAACTTTTCATACCCTTCCTCCTGTTTTTAAACTGTTTTTCCCTTTCTCCAGCCCGCGCTCGCACTTTCGCTACTGCGCGGGCAAAAAAGTGCCCATGTCTGCTATAATGGATAAAAAGTAAGTCAATTGAACTGGAAATTGTAAAAAATTGTGAAATATACATATGTATGTATGTGTCTGAATTACAGATCAAAAATTGTAAGCAAAAAAAGGCAACTTGCGCGGTTGATCGAGCTGATGCAGGAGAATGAGAACATAGGCAAAGGAATTTTCGGAAAGAGTAGGGGCGAAATCTCCGATTCTATTCTTTCTCTTTCTTGTGCATATAACTCCGGTTACGCCATCCAAAGTGTTTTTGCGCAGAGCCGACATCAAAGTTTACAAAAAACTGCATAATTTATTAATTAACTAGTGCTCGGAAATTTGAAATCTTTATTTTAAATTAAAGTTTAATTCTTCCACTACACTTGTATGTTAAAGTTTTTAAACTCGGGTCACGCGTTTGGACACAAATACCCAACATCATTGTACAAATAACTAAACCGTACCGTAATTCTTAAACTTCCATAAAGTTTATTAATGAAGAAAATAGCATTTTCTGCAAATCCTGTAAAACCTACAAACCGTGAAGCATCGGAACGCAGCTTGTATTCAAAAAATTCACATATGTACATACACTTCATCTTTCAACTCCAAGTGATCCGACGAATCTCGCTTCCACAGCATCTTCGTCATCACCAGGGAACGGATTTTTAGGACCTAAAAACCTATAAAAAAGGCAAAATAAAATAACGAAATAGGCTGGAAAAGGCAAAATAAAATAGCGAAAAAGGCAAGAGGAGGCACTAGGTGTTGCAAAAAAGGCAAAAAAAGGCAAAACAAAATAGCGAAAAAGGCAGGAAAAGGCACTAGGTATTGCAAAAAAAAGCAAAATAAGGCACTAAAAAAAGACAGAAAATACGAAGAACAATCAAAAAATACATTTATTTTAAAAATGTTTATATTACAAGTAAAAAGCGAAAAACTATGAACTAGAAAATTTTTACTTAGAATCTTTGACTATTTTATCCTTTCTAGTTTCTAACTCATAAAGCTTTAATCTGTATAGTTGTAGTAACATTGAACCACAAGATGCATTTTGAAGTTTTCTGGCAGCATTTTCATTCGATTTTCGCGAAGAAAAGCCTTGAATGTACTAAATGTGTGTTCGACGTAAGTTGATACAAGCGGCGCCCAATTTAAATATGGAATGTTTGAAACGTTCATATTATCAGGAATAAGGGCGTTTTCCTCGCCCTTTACAATTTTATCCACATCCCTAATTGTCTCCAAGCCTTCGTTAGCTGAGAAAATGGCTTTGAATTTTTCCAACACCAATTTGGCAAGAGGTCTCTGCGCTTCCATAAGCCGCACGGGCAATGTGTATATTTTTAATCTTAAAAAAAAATTGTAAATGCTATAATCACTTTTTTAAAGGTAGAAAAGGCAAAAAAAGGCAATATCTTAAAAAAGACAAAAAAAAGGCAAATATCTTAAAAAAGGCAAAAAAAGGCAACATCAAATGTGTATATATGGAATCAGGGAAAGCTAAGTCGTGGACATTCTTAATCGAATATAGTATATCTCTTTAGCAGAAAAAAAGGCAATTTCCATAAAATCCGTTCCCTGGTCATCACTAAACCATATTTCAACTGTACCCATTTTTTTAATTTTATAATGAAAGCAATTATTTTAAAAATGATGTAAATGAAACACTAAAGAAACAAATGTAAACAAACAAACAGCTGTTTACAATTCCGTCAACAATTCACAATAGTACAAATTTGTATCGATCAAGTTACACAAAAGTAAAATAAAAGATGATCGACTCGATCGACAAATATCTATTCTACTGCCAGTCGACACTCGCAATATGGGCCTACTTCTTTCGAATATTTTGTACTACCTTTTAAAATGACTTTTCTATAGCAGATTAGAAAAATTTTAAAAGGTTAGTAATTTCAGTTAAAAAAGGTACTCATAGATCAACACATAAAGTATGACTGTCAAACACTTCTCTAGCTTACAAAATTCATTGTGAAGGTCAGTGTTGCCGCCGCTCAAAGAACTTTCTAACCAAGATTTGACGAAAAAGTTACCAAATGTAAGGAAAAATAACCAATTTTTTTATTAGATTAATAACTCAGGTCATCACAAATTCTTTTATATAGTACGTATATACAAATTTTACAAACTAAAGAAAATCAGTTTTTATTTGCATTTTTGAAAAGTAAATCCTTTTAAGGCTGAAAATAAGTGAGATACATTCATATATAAGTATATATATAAATACATATTTTAGAAAATCAGGCTTCCCGTATTAGGTGCATATGTATGTTAATATCTTTAACATTACCAGACTCTAAATGACGTTTTTAAATAAGTACATAGGTACACAGTTTCCAACTTCTTTGTAAGAATCAATGAAATACCTAATCAGCGTGAACAACCACATTGTAAATATTTTATAATTAAGATTAAACAATTAAAAGTTGGACTGTATTGAACTATATCGTCGCTCAGCGCGAAGTACCTCGTATACGCCAAACGCAGTACCGCGTATACGATAGTAAATAAATTTTACAAAAGCGCGAGAAACCGATTTTTTTAAAACNAAATAAATTAATTAATAAATAAATTAATTAATAAATGGAGTAAATAGGTGTTCAGAGTAGTAGTAAGAATAAAGAGCTAAGTTAATAGTTAATAGTTAATAGTTTAAGTGGTAGAAATAATCTGAATTTAAGTAGATTTTGTGGTAGTAAGTAGTATACTTGGTGAATAAAGATTGTATATATATATTTCAGAAAAAAAAGGAATGCACGTTATCATTGTTTATAGGTGAAGCAAGAGTTAGGCGAGATGGCGTGCTAAGTTTTCTGCCGTTTGGTGTTGGTGTTGCCCTCGTTGCGACTTGGCAGGAAAAAGGGGATGTTAGACCTAGGCTAACTGACGAACTAGGGACTTAACTGCACTGATAGACTGACGAAATAAGGTCAGGACTAGGGAACTCCACTTCTATGCTTTGGAGCCAAAGTGGGGTTCACGGCTGTTTGCTATACAGACAGATGGGGTGGGACGGCTCTCTTCTGACAGGACTGGCCTTCTACCGCTTTCCTTTTTCCCGCAGTGTTGTCTCTCGTTTCCATTTCCTCTATCCGGCATGAATTTTTTTTGTTTGTTTATGGCTGTGGGCTGAAAGGAACGGCAATAACCACGACAAGGGCTGACGAGCTAAAGCCGGGCTACAACCATGCCGACCCGCCGTGACTTCAAGTCCAGTACAAGCAGTTTCATAACAATGGCGCCCAACGCTAGGTCTATTTCCTTTTTTTTCATTTTCTCACACCTTTAGTTCTTTTAATAATTTTTTTGTTGTACTGTTAACTATACACTTTCATGATATTTCCTTCTTTTCCGGACAGAGTAGGTTTCCACAAGCGGCTTTACTTGGGCCAAGACCTAAGGTAAATGCGCTAGCTGGAAAACATGGGGGCGGTACGGGTTCCACTCCGAAAGATGACTTAGCGGATTACAACATCCTGCAAAAGAGATTTTTCGTGAGGAACTGTACAACATTTTTATTTAATTGAATTCAAATGTATTTTTGGATATGGAAGTTGTCCAGCGCTACCATCACGTGGATCCTGCATCTAACTGATGTGAGGTGCTTGGACGTTTTCCATGTTGGGGTGTGGGGTAAATTAATTAGCAAATTTTGGATTCGCCTCCGGCAATTTAGATTCAGGTTTGACTGTTGTAGTGGCGATCCAAAACATATATGGGTATTAGAGACTTCGACTTTGGACAGCAACCGACATTCATACATGACAGGTCAACAACGCTCACATAATCCGCCAAACGAGGTCAACACCGTTAACACCAACGATTACATTTTTTTATTGAGATACATACATACATAGGTAAAACAAAAAAAAAGGAGCTTTTAATTTTGGCATTTTTTTTACTATAAATTGAAGAATTCTTATAGGCTATACACATCCAAAATCCACATAAATCATATACCTATAAACCATAACAAAGATATTTATTTATATATATTTTTTCTCTCCCTTTACACCTTTCATTTCCTTTTCGATTTTTCTTATATTATATACGATCCTTGAAGTTTTATTGAATTTTTTTATTGCCCTGCCCCTTTGACTTCGGTAGTATTACGAATTATAGTTTTTGCATTAATATTTCACATTAATTTATACATACTTATATGCTTTATTTTTGAATTATTGTTATCATATACATTTTTATAACATTTTCTTTTGAATAAGATTATTATTTGAAATATATACATTTTTTATTATAAATATACCTACACATAAGGGTGAGAAGCCAAAAATTATTTGAATTGTTTTTAATGCTACGCAAACAAATTTAGGCGCGATAGAATTTATTAGTTTTATATTCAGTTTTTTTTCTAGGGTAAGGTAAATTTTTTTTATTCTGTGCGTGGAAGGTGCATGGAGGCGCCTAGAAACACTGCAGAGCTACCAAGGGCTGGACTAGGTATCCTTACGCACAATAGACCANAGAGCTACCAAGGGCTGGACTAGGTATTCTTACGCACAATAGACCAGTAACGCGTAGTTTAGCAAGGGCACTAGAGAACCAGGTGGTAGGTTCTTTGTTCACTCAGATAGATACGGGAATCGAACGGCCAGTGGACTTCGTACCCACTGATTATCTGAACCGCTGTACTGCCAGAGTATTTGGTAGGTCCTACATTCAACTGAATACTACAGACAGCTCGCTAAGCTTTTCGAGGAAGCTGGATAGGGTTCTCGATATGTCGGAGCCTGAGTTAGTGGAAGAAGGAGCAGTTGGAGGGGCGCCAAGACA